GGCCTTCTGTCCAGAGCTACATTTAGTAATAGATGTAGGAAAATATCGGGCTTCTCGAAACTGTCCTCGGACAGCACCCTATACCGCAAGGTAGCCGAAAGGCGGGGTATTCTTCTTATCAAAAAATGATTATGTTCGCAGCGTTGAAAATTGATCGCACAGAATTTAGCTTTTTTTGAAAACAAAACGTACAGAATTAAAATAAGTTTTACTTTATAGATTATAGAGAGTTTTTATGCTACATCTTTTGGCATATCCTATTTTTGTAATAAAACTTATTTATAGATTAAATCACTTTTTTTTTACATTTTCAGAAACAAAATTTTTTGAAAAAGAAAGTAAGTCTGAAGACAATGATGGCTACAAACTTGCTTTTTACAAAAATAATAATTACATTGTTCGATCTAAAAAGTGTACATTTTAAAAGATTAAGGTTAAGATGTGCTGTTGTCTAACCGGGTTGGCACATAGTCTTGTTTCACTTTATCAATTGCTGACATCTGTTCAGAAAAACAATGGTCGAAATAGATAAAAGAATACTTAAATCAGATTCTATTGAAAATTTTCGGCATATCGTGGCAATTTTATTTTTACTACAATTATTTCAATATCTTGAATAATTATCGACATTAAACACACGGTTGTCAGATCGAAAAATTAAAGATCAGAACGTTTTTTGTTAGAAACTTGAAAGCGAGTTTATTATGTTAAGATGCCTGCTTAATTCTTCTATTAATATAATGTACTTCATTTTATTTCTGTTCATTTAATCCACACTGTTACAAAAAGATATTTCATAATTAAAAACGGATAAAAACAATATAAACGTAGAGTCAAGTCAGTATGGGTGAAGCTTAAAAGCAATTCAATTTCGAATATATTTTCTTGTAAGAATTACAATGAAGGACTCCCGTAAGTCCACTTTACAACACATACGATATTCATTTTCGACATATAATTGATAATAGTATACCATTGTTATCAAGATTTCTTAATGAAATTCTGTCATAGCTTTATTGCTATCAACAACTCACTGGAGAATTATCGTACAGAGTGTATTAGAAACATTTTTAAAATCCTCTTTCTACTGGCTTTTAAACGAAGAAAAATTTTTAGTTTATTTGCTGGTTAGGTGTTCGTGAAACCGTCATCAAGTAGTATCTGAGGTAGAAAAATGGTCAATGTGTCGAAAATTCGATAGATTTTCCGAAAAAAAGATGTAATATAACTCTTCTTAATAAAATGTGCATTTGAAAAAATCTACTGCTTCAGAGCTATTGAAAAAAGACTTAAGTATTTCAGGATACTATGTATCTGATATTGAGGTAATATCAGAGCATTGTGACACATTAGATCTTTGAGATTGTCAATGAAAAATTCTTCGACAGTTGGTCACCTTCTGTGATGAGCAAAGTCGATAGCTGACAAATATATTGGCAGGCGCAAGGATGGTAAACTATATATACACGTTGTTTACAAACAGTAATGAGCAATTACTATATTTCCAGCAAGCATTGAAAAACTAGAAAGACGAGTAAAGATGAGACCGTCAGAAGAAAATCAAAGAAAATTCAAAAATTGGAAGATGTGACATTCTTGATTAAGCAGTATAAAAGTAATATAATATTTGTAATATGGAGAAAGACACTATCTTCTTTCTACATTGAAGAATACGACTTGGAATTCAATAATCTCAATAGATCTTTCTTTCCTTTGATTGAAGTATGAAGATATCATTTCAAATAATTGACTGTTATTTTTTCTGATATCTTGCTATGAATCGAACAATAATCATTAATGTTTTGATTTCGACTGATCGACAGAATTTTTATTATTAATTATGAAATTCTGTAAGTCTTTTTTTAACACTGGCACACACACTATTCAAGTTCAATCTCAAGATTTTACCAATATACAATAATACAAAAAAAGTAAATTAAATTTCTTTTCTTGAATTTGCTTGCTTGTTTAAGTTATTTTAATAACATAAGAGCAAAAATTTTGTTAACACAAATACAAATATTTTTGTCTTACGAGGGACAATAACGTGACATTTCAACAACAGTACAAGAGCTTTCACAACAAGCTTCAGTAAGTAATTTTTGTTGTACAAATTTGCGAATACGGTTGTCACGTTTGGCTTTTTCTTTATTTAGATCTATAGCTTCACAAACAATATTGATTATATACCACAAATCGGGACCACAAACTTGATAAGCTCGTTGAAGATGACAGTCTTCAACTTTATAAAATTTTCCACGAATTATTATTTTTTCACCTTCCTTCAATAAATAAGTTCCATGTTTAACAGTACAATTTACATTTTCAGTTGGTAAAACCGTCCCATTTTCATCAGCTTTATTAAGTACAACTAGTGAGATAAATAAAAAACCAACAAATAACATCATAATTATAATTATTAGGATGATTGTGAAGAACTATTATGTTTAAATCTAGAAACAGTATTATATTTAAAAAAAGAAAAAAGAATATACTTATTCAAGAACTTAGAAAACATTCACTTGATTATTTCCGAGCGCCACAGTTTTAAAAAGTTTGAACAGGCTGACATGTTTATTTCATTGAATACTTGTCAAAATAAAAACATTGTATTAATGAAAAATGACTAAACTCAACATTTGATAAAAATAGTCAAGTGATTAGTACATGAAAAAAGATACTCAACATATCGAATTGTCTAAAAGTAATGCTGTTATGCTTTTGACACACCTTTCTTTCAATTATCTCAGAAAAGTGGAGAACTAGAAAGTTTGTTCAAACACCATTTGACGCAGTATATCACATTCTATCTATGCTATACAAATGGCCGTTTTCCATAGGAGTTTCAGGATTCTAGAAAGATTTTGTCATTGCCTAACACTGTTACACAGATGTTTCTCGACTAATTTCGAGGCACTTAACATACTCAGAAATATTTAATTTTCATATATATTGCTTTTTTTTCTCGCATATCTAATCGTTCTATGCAAGAATCAAGTTGCCATATCAAAACGAGATCTTATTAACTATACCGTAAGTTAAAAACTGCACAAATTGTCCTTAATGATGAAACTCAAAAATATGTCATTTTGAGAAAAATTTAATTCTGCACCGAATGGTATATTAATTAGCATTTAAAAAAATCCTTGGTGAGAAAATTCAAAATATCATTTTTGAAAAGTTTAAAACCGGTTTTTAATGTTAAAATCCAATTTTTGAAAGAAAACATGTCAAATTTGTAATTAGTGTCAAAAACAGCATGCCTAATAAGACGTCTAGATTTATTCAATTCGAAAAAGTTCGTCAAAAAACTTGATCAGGAATGCGTCGAGAAACATGAACATGCTGACATACATATATTTGATCAACTGCTAGATTGCTAAAACAATATGAACATTTTGTGATGCATCTCGTTTTATGATAGAACTTTTGTTTCTACAAATCTTAACATTTTTAGAACCTAAAGACTACGTAGTCCTACTCATTCAGTGTACTACTTTCAGATAATGTTCTCAAAATGATCATTTCATTATCTTCAGTCATTTCAATATCAATAAAGAATATTCCATGCTGATACATTTCATTTTTTCCATAATTTAGATTCATCTGAATAACAAGGAATTATAGTCAAATTTCAAAAGTTTTGCACGACAAACATACTGGATTTTTTGGTGACGAAAAATAAAAATAGAAGCTTCGAAGAATTTCATTATAGTTTGATTAATAAATGCATCTTTCGCTACTTCTAATAACGAATAAAAAGAAATTTTATAAAAGAAAATTTTTTCCATCGAACGACCTCATATTTTTAAACTAGCCTTTAGATTCTTAAAATGTCAAAATCTAAAAAAAATACAATTTCGAACATACCATTCGATATATTTTTAAAATGCTTCCAAAAACAGAGTTTCATGATTCAAGAAAGGCAACAACATGCGACGATGTTAACATATATGCTTTATTATTGTTTTCAATTCTTTCGTGATGACAGCAATATATTTGCATGTCGGAGCAATCATTGAATAGTTTCACCTAGAAGCAGAGCGGATTCATATACCTACTTTTACTAATACTTATTAGAAAATGAATAACAAATAAGATTACGTAAAAAAAGATTAAGATTTTCTAGGATTAAATATTTTTTATATGTTGAAAATAAAATTATAGAAAAATGACATCTTGTTCTAAAAAGAAACTAATAAATAGTATATTTTTCTTCTCATGGTATGATTTGTCAGTAGTATTTTTTATTCATCTGTTTTGTCAGTTTACGAGAAAAGTCAAACAATCAAAATTTTTGCACTCATATGACCAATAGTGCTTCGTCATAATACTTTTTTTTAGAGTTTCTCTTGAATAAAACATAAACATATTTCATCACCTTCAAGACACTCTGAAGATTGCTTGTATTCATCAGTTAACTATTTATAAAGAAAAAGCCATAAGAATGATCCTAAAGAAAAACTATTATTCATCAAATAAATTGGTCTGGACTTCTCTTTGCTACTTTTTTTCAGCTTTTTATTTCATAACATAATTACGTTTTTATTTGAACTATTTGACGTCTAAAGAAATCTCTAGCTTTATTTTTCATTTCAAAATTAAAACAAACATTCAAATCATGTCTTTTTCTGTGATTTTCATCAGAGTTTAAAGGCAAAATAGTTTTTTTTTTAATATCTAGAATGGAAAGTTTTCCAAAGCACATGATATTTGAAAAATGTCCTTATTCAGTTGCTATTTCAGTCAATAAGATCGACTATGATTTAAATAATTGTACTCTCTTATATTCGAATTAAAATTCTTAATATAAAAGAAAAATATAAAGAAACTGTAGAGATATGGTAAAGAAAAATTTTTCTAAGAGCTGCAAAGGTGCACATAAAATTAGCATGCTGCACGTTGATTCGCAGCACCATTGATAAACCAGGATGCTCGTAAGAATTGGCGATAGTCCTTACAACTTTCCGTTTCCACTATAAACGATTGAAGAGACTATTTTCGACCCAAATTCCAATTCATCATGAGAAAAATTTTACCAATATATTTTACTGATAAAAAGTTCTTGCAATGCCCTCTATAATAAACATTTATTTTACGATCGGGACTGATTTGCGCTCTATGACTAGTATAGTCGATTCAGACGCAACAACATTATCTCGCGAAATAGAAATCAACAGGATTCTGTCTGTTTTAGCAGACTTCAAAAATATTTATCCGTTTTTATACAATGCACCATAATACACCACTTTAAAAAATCGGTGGTTTTTGCTCGGTTCGAATCACATAGTTTTTACAAATGGGAAGATACAGTTGTTTCTTATTCTGCGATCTCCTATTCCAATCAAAAAACAATTTTTGCTGAAAAAAATAAAAACTTTTCCAAGTGGGAGATACGCATCGGCTTCTCTTCGCACCCTGTGGCTACATCACTGCAAAATTGAACGAACAATGGAACCAAGACTTCACTAAATTAGTCATTTTCTTTTTTCTCTAATCCTTCTCTTTCTATTCGCTCTCTACTATTTTCTGGAGCTATCGTTCAAGAACATATAGCAAAAATTACAGATTTCCGGCAAGGAAAAGGGTAGAGGCAAGACAGTACTCGATGTTCTAACAGGGTGGATGTGGGTGTGGGTACGGATTTGGATATATTATCCATCCACACCCACATCCTAGCCATTTTCATATAAACAGGTTCGTCGAGTAGACTATAAAAGTGTGACTAAGGCTAAAATTATTTGTACAAAGTTAAATTAGCTTCTTTGCATAGCATGATAGCAGTAAAATGTTCATTGTAAAAATGAGCGAAGGAGCATATGCAAGCAAGTTTTATAGACGTATAAGAAACAAAGATAACTATGCATATCCTGAATTGTTAACCGAAGCCCACAGTTCGTGAGATTTACCCGTTTTTTTCTATTAAGTTTGTTGTAATTTTGATATTAAAGTAATATTTTTTGTTTCGAAGAGATCGATTGTTACTCAAAAAAATGTTAATATTTTAATATACCACAGAAAATTATCTCAGATGACGTCAAACTTTTTCTAAATTGTTTAAGTTTTCTGGCTAATGACTAATTTTGTGTAATAAATAATCAAACTCGAAAACTAAGCGAAAATAGCCGATATGGTTAGTACAGGTAGCTTGAGCGCAGTCATATTGCTGACAGGTGTGGTTCAGATTGAAGACTAATATTTTTCTAAGAGTCTAAAAATATTCATGCAGTAAGACATTAAATAAAACATAAAGTAGCAGAACTGCAGTTAACTGCTAGTTGTCGTGACCTGGATACCTGCCATTCTGCACTTGAAATGTCTTCTTATCGTTCGATTAATTTAATAGCAAGACTCTTAAGTGACCTTCAACACGGAGAAGAAATCTCTCTATTATGCCAAGAAAGAAAAAGAATCTGGAAGGAATATGGATCTGTGCAGCTTTTCATGCACTTTGACGTCATAGCAATAAATTACTGAAAAGAAAGAGTAGCCAGAGGAAATGCGTGCATAATTCTTTAGTCTAAGAATTAACACGAATAATAGAATCAATAGTCATAAAAGAATCCACTTATAACGGGTGTCCCAGAATAAATTATACCATTCGTATTTTGAGTATAACTCTTCTATTATCCATTAGATCGGGACATCTTTTTATACTAAAAGATAGCGCTTGAAATTCTCTAC